AACATTTTTTTATCTCAAATCGAGGGAAGACATTCCGCTCCATTACCATAAACCGGACTAGTTCATGTTGATGTCAAGCTACGGCTACAATTTGGACTTCTACATCAACACATGTCAAGCTGCTTTTAGGTTCAATTGGTGAGTTCATTCCATTTTGTAAATTTTTATCTTTTCAAACCAGTAACGTTGAGGGATCACCTTTTTGTGGTGCGTTACTGGCGTAAGATCTACCACCGAGCCCTAGTCGTGACACCTTCAAACTAGGGAATCAGGATTTTCCAGTAATCAAAGGATCACATTTTAGTTCTTGTTACTTTTTATGACTTGGTAATACTGACAAGACTCGGGTAGTGACCACCGCCGCGCCGTTATGCATTTCTATATTGTATATTTTAACACAAAAATATTGTTTATGTTCGTAGATTTCACATAATCCTTTTCCCTTTGTCCTTTTACTTTTCCTTTCCCTCTTCTCTTTTCAGAAAGCGAGTAATGGCGCTATAGTTATAAGTCATAAAAGGCTAGGACCAAGGTGACTACATATAGGTGTTCTAATGTGTCAAATTCATGATTCAGCCATGTTGGATTTTTGTATAGGACAGCGTCCGAGTTTTGTTTACAATTTGCCCTAAAACCGCATTTTTCCCCCCCGCGATCTCCTCGCCTATAAAGTGACAAAGTTGTATCACCATTTATATACCCACCATGGGCTAGAACAAGAGTTAGTGCTCATGCCCCAACCGACAGAAGAAAATGGAGCATCACTTAACCTTTCTAGCTTTGATGCTTCCAACGACCTACCAATCATATAATTACCAAAATCGGAACGTACGGTACGAGATGTCCACATTTCTTCCATTTATTGGATTCTGAAGCATCGTCGCACAGTGAAGGCCCGATGTTTTATGAATCATCTTGCCCCTTAAATGCTGCACAGTTGGCCGTTTTGATATGTGTGACGCATCTTCGATGTGAAACATATATCAAATAGACAAGAAAAATGATGGAGGTATATCCATCATTTTCCAGGATGCTTTCAAGAACTGGCTGTGTTGGTGTTAGATTAGATTAGATTAGAATTGTGAGTGGATTTTCTTGAAATACTGGGAGGGTTCGAAAGAAATTCTCAGAAGAATTCAAAGTGAATTCTGAATAGCAGTCCAGGGATATTATAAAAAGAATTCCAAGAGATCTCCGAGGAGAATTATCTCCTTTGCAAGAAAACTTCAATGAAAATCTCAAGAAATTTGGAAATGTTGAGAAAACTTCAATAGATTTCGATAGGTTCCAGTATTCTGAGGATATTTAATGCCAATGGAATTTTTGGAGAATACTTTGGAAAAACTAAGGTTAATTCAAATGGAAGGAAAATCCTGCCTTCCTAATACATTTTCATTGTGATAAGAAATTCTCTTTGAGGATTTTTTGAAAGAATCCCAAGGTTTTCTAAATTTAAATTTTAAGATTATTCCAAGGGAATCCTGAAAGACATTTCAATTGATTGTTTAAGGGAATCGAGTGAAAATTCTGCAAATTCTTACGAGAATTATTGAAAATATGAGGATTAATTGTAGACTGAATGAATTCAAGAGTTGCAAGGGGCAAGCCAACTCAGATATATTTGAAAATATCATTAAGTATTTTCTAAAACTAATACATGTAAAACATAGAGCTTTTTGAACTGAATGATGTTTGTTCTACGGATACTTTTGTTTTAAGACAAAGTCATCGAAATGAAGACATTAAACAATATCCTGATGAATGAATGTGGGCATCTTAGTGGAATACCTGTATAAAGAGAGAGAGAGAGAGAAGATTAGTAATTTCCATTTAATTCCACTACCTTGTTTGCTTATCCATGACAGATACGCGTATTTCGTCTACAATGTGCAGACTTCTTCAGTGTCGAGTATTAGTACAAGACACTGAACAAGTCTGCACATTGTAGACGGTAAGGCAGTGGAATTAAATGGAAATTACTAATCCTTCTCTCTCTCTTTATAAAACAAAATGTTGATACATGTATTTAACCAAGGTGTCCCGTCCCTGGATTGTTGTGAGGAATCCCGAATGTAGCTCTACAATTATTTTGGGATTATTCTAGTGAGAATCTTAAGACAATTTCAAAGATATCGTGTGAAGAGATTCTTAAAAATACACTAGTTAATTCAGACATCAAAAGTTTTTTAAATGCTACGCGTTCTGCAAAATTTCATGATCCCAGACCATGCCAGTTCCACCGAACAGAAATCGGTCTATAAAGATATAACAAATATATTTTATGATTGTAATCAAACTCCCGGTCATTTCCCGGTTGTCTTCGATTCTCGGTTAGTTCCCGGTTCTCTCGGTTTTCCCGGTTCAGTGGCAATCCTGGAATATCTCATAGAAAGTCACTGGAAAGCCACTTGAGGGATTTATCAATTTCGCCAGATATCTATATTTTCCAATTGCAGATTTCAAAAATGTACAAATACTAAACAAAACACTCAATATTAGAAGGAATGATGCGGAACGATCATCACCATAGCCTACTGATTGTTTAAGAATTAAGTTTCAATATTTACGTTTTATGTGATCAATTTACACACACTCAAAAAATTTGTCGCATAAATTTCACTGGAAAAAAAACATATAACCTTTAGGTATTATAAATTATCTGAAAAGTACATGACGTTATTAAAATTCATTACAAATCATATTAAAAGCAATGGAATAAGCTTTGAAAGTTAGATGAAATATATATAAATTTTAAGTGAATTTCATGTAAGATAATATCACTTAGATTCTACATGAATTTATGGTGTTAAAATTTCTGAGTGGTGATGGCATAAACAAAACCTTATATGGCGTCCGAACGGTGCATTTCTGACGACCGGTTGCTAGATTTGCAAATTACATTGTATTTGTTGAATTTTCTAAAAAGTAAGTTGTTTTATTTTTGTCAGCATACACCATTAACTAATCATATATTTTTTTTTTTGTAGAACGAGGAATCGACGAGTTTGATTTCGTTACCATCTCACCGAAAGATTTGCAAAAGAAGTGTAGCTGGCCGGGGGTGGCTGGGAGTTGCATTGTGTAAAAAATAGCTTAAACGTGTAATAAAATAGATATCAGAAACCATCTGCATTAAGCTGAACAATAAAATAAATAAACAAATATCTATCCAGTTATCTTTATTATTTCGAAAAATCATTTTAGAACGCCTAACAACAGTTTGGATGCTACGAAGAGATTTATTAAAATTTAAGTGAAAGTGTAATAAAATTCACTTAGAAAGTACTATAAAATCTATGTTGCTTTCTAGTGAATTGGGGAAAGATCTTTTCACTTGGATGTTACATGAAAATATAGTTAACTTTTTATTCCAAGGGCTATACTACCTATTACAGTTTTATGTGGATTGAAATTAAAACATATGAAAAACGTAAAATTTACGTGAAAAACTAGATGGAAAAAATCTATATATGTTTTCATGTAACATCTAAGTGAAAAAAATCTAATTGCACGAATTACTTTATTCAATTGAGGGGGTTAGAAGGAAAGGGGTGTAAGTGACTTTTAACGAATCTCTTCATCGACTTTCTCTTTCGTTAATAATTCAGCTGCAAACACATTTCTTGATTCATGTGCCATTCTGGATGCTAGATGAGAACCTCCTTTATCAAACTATATGGCAGAAATAGTGTAAAATCCTTTTATCAAAAGAGAAAGTCGCTGAAGAAAATCGATCAAAGCCACTTACACCCCTTTACTTCTGAATGTAATCCGTTGCATATTTTTGAATGATATTTTGTTAATTTATGTTAAGATTTTCATATTGCTTCGTGTTCGATATTAGTTTTTTTCGGTATTTGATGTTACTGAGTGATACTGACCATTTGACTGCTCTCTATTCGGAAATGAGTCAGAACTTCTTAGGTTGGGCCGGTGATGAAAAACCTCGCCAAAAAGCTGTTGGTATTCGGTCGTTTCTGTTGATGGCCTCGTGTTCGTGTTTTCAGGATTAGTGGCATCCACACGTGCTACGTGAAGTACACTGGACGTCAGCCAGTCAGCTTCATTCCCCTTTTCGGGAAAATATATCCTCTGCATGAACTTTTTGGATGGTCTCCTTTTAGAGTGACGCATAAGCCATCCAATTAAAGCGAAAAGGGAAGCTCGACAAGCTGGCGGAGTGCAACCAGAGGCCAAAAATTCCCGAAATAACGTGCTCAACTTTTTGGCTCAGCTCTGGTACGCTCTTCGGTCCCAAGCTACTCGATTCACCCCTCGAAGCATAGGAAATTCCACTAACCCCTCATTTTATCTTTCAAACTTTCATAGCGAATCAAAACAAACATTGTGTAGTAGTAGAATTTCGCCTAGAATGGGATACCTTAATCGTTTGCTTGGGACCAATAGGCTAGTCAAGTAGTGAGCCAATTTAAAATCGTTAGTTTCGTATTGATTGTTGGTGCAACTCTTCAAATGATACGGACCATCTCAATTGAAATAGGATTCTCATGAAAATATCTATGGAAAGGTCTCGCATCGAATGATGCGGAACATCATAATTGAATGAAGATTCTTGTGAGAAGACCAATTATGTATGATTCAACTGTATCGAAAATGAATATGTAGGGGTAATTGCTCTAATGTTGGCCTATGGATCTAAGATTGGGCCCATCGCTAAAAATCTGCTATTTATCAATTTTATCTAGATGGACGCGTCATTGGGACAGTACAGTTTTTTTTTCCTCTGTTCGGGTTATAATGACTGCGACCAATACATCGATATTTTGTGATAGGGCAAATGGATGTAAAGTCGGTCTAAATGCCTCTAATTTGGGCCCATTTATAAATTCAGCAATCGACTAAATTTCCAATAGCGACCAAAAATATCCATTAGTCTCTCTCTCTCTCTCTCTCCTCTAAGGTTGTCCCCGGTTGTCGGTTCCCATCCTCCACAATGTTCTACAGCGCCAACAGTTCCTGCAAACCTGCATTATGCCATGATGGCATGTGACAAGGATAATGTACACACTGCTGTTATTCTCCCTACCGCACTGGTGGAAATTGAGGATGCTCAAGGTCGCAAAGTTCTTGCCCGTTGTCTACTCGACTCGGGGTCCCAGAGCCATTTCATCACGAAGGCTCTTTGCGAGAAACTACAACTCCCACGTACACGTGCTTCTGTTCCTGTTCTAGTGTGTGGCTTAGGTCAATCAACCACCAAGGCCACGCACTCCCTTACCGCCAAGGTATCGTCAAGAGTTTCTCCGTACGTTGTGGAACCGCAACTTCTAGTTCTACCCTCTCTCGCCATCAAGTTGCCAGGATCAACAATCAGTACACAGAAATGGCAGATTCCTGAAACAGTGCGTCTTGCTGATCCAACTTTCCACGTGTCGAATGACATTGACCTAATCTTAGGAGCTCAATTCTTCTTCGATACCCTCCGCTACGGTCGTATCCAGCTTGGTGAGCAGTTGCCAGTTTTGCAGAATTCTGTCCTCGGATGGGTCGTGTCAGGTCCCTGCACCATTCGAGACCACGATCATGCTGATCCTCGTTCCTGCCTAATGAGTAGTGCAGTTCGTGTAGAAGAAATGCTTCGAAAGTTTTGGGAGCTGGAAACCGTCCATGATACCAAGGGTTGGTCAGCCACGGATAAGTTTTGTGAGGAGCACTTCCTGGCCAACACCACACGGACGCCGGAAGGTCGATACGTAGTCAGGCTACCAAAACGTGAAGAACTCATCGCTCAGTTGGATGATAACATGTACCAGGCCACTAGACGCTTCTATTCGTTGGAACGTTCTCTCATGTCGGATGCACAGAAAAGGAAGCAGTATCATGATTTCGTCACCCAATACATTGAAATGGGGCACATGCGTGAAGTTGCAGAAGAGGAACTGAACGTCAGACCACAGTTTATCCTACCACATCACGGGGTCTTGAAACCTGAGAGTACAACCACCAAACTCCGAACCGTGTTTGATTCATCCTGTAAATCACGTTCGGGATTGGCTCTTAACGACGTTATGATTCCTGGTCCCACAATCCAGGAAATGCTAGTGGAAATAGTGCTACGATTCCGATTGTATCGTTTCGTCGTGACCGCTGACATTGAGAAGATGTTCAGACAGATTCTGGTCCATCTCTTGGATCAATCGTTGCAGCGCATATTGTGGCGTGATGACCCTGAACTCCGTTTGAAAGTGTACCAGTTACTCACCATTACGTACGGTTTGAACAACTCGCCTTTCCTGGCAACTCGCGTTTTGCAACAGCTATCCACAGACGAAGAACAGCGATTCCCACACGCAGCAAGAATTACTCGAAAGGATTTTTATGTGGATAACCTCCTTACCGGTTCCAACGACGTGGAACAGCTGAAGCTGATTGTGAACGAGATGATTGGGCTTCTAGCAGCCGGAGGATTTCCTCTTCGACAATGGTCTTCGAATTGTCAAGACGTGCTGGATGTCGTTCCAGAACACCTCCGAGAAACGCGTACGCTGCTAGAACTAGATCGAGATACCTCTGCTACCGCTCTTGGTCTACGCTGGGAACCCACCACCGATCAACTGTCATTCAAACCTCCAAAGTGGAGGGATAGCCAGCCAATCACTAAGAGAACCGTTCTGTCACAGATGAGTAGCCTGTTTGACCCACTCGGGCTGCTAGGCCCAAAAGTTGTTCATGCGAAGATCATAATACAAGCCCTCTGGAAGTGTCAACTAGAATGGGATACACCGCTTGCAGTGAAGTTCGTGGAAGAATGGACGTCGTATCAGCGAGATATACGTCACCTAGATGGTCTTCGCATTCCGCGGTTGGTCATGCTCTCACCGCACCAAAGGTTAGAAATCCATGGATTCAGCGACGCCTCCCTGCAGGCATATGGAGCCTGCGTGTATATCAGGTCGGTCGACGCAAAAGGCCAATGCTATGTCCAATTGCTAACGGCCAAGTCCCGTGTAGCTCCACTCAGTAGTAAGTCAATTCCGAGATTGGAGCTCTCCGCCGCGCTACTCCTAGCGCATCTCCTGGCTCAAGTTCTAAAGAGCACCTCACTCGTGGCTCCAGTTTATCTTTGGACAGATTCGACCGTAACACTGGATTGGATCTCTGCTTCACCGTCGACCTGGAAGACTTTCGTCAGCAACAGAGTAGCAGAAATTCAGGAGTTGACCGCTTCAGCCTCCTGGAATCACATACCCTCCGACGAAAACCCCGCTGACCTGTTGTCGAGAGGAACCAGCCTAGAGAATCTAGTAGAAAATACTCTATGGTGGAATGGACCTATCTGGATAAGATCGTTAAGTGAACCGTGGCCGCCGAATTACGTGTCGCGTAAACAGAATCGTGAAGATCCAGAATTACGGAAAGTTGTGGCGCTGCCTGTCTTTACAGAGCCAGAAGACATCATCGATCGCTATTCAAGCCTAACCCCTCTCGTTCGCGTGTGCGCGTGGTGGCACCGTTTTCGTGAGAACACTCGTCGGGTGAAGAATGAACGCGTAACCGGTCCGTTGTCGGCGTCGGAAATCGATCGTTCGTTCTGAAATGAAGCAACTCGCTCGAAACGAAGCCGTAAGCAAGAAATCCAAATTACGTTTCCTGAATCCGAAACTCATCGATGGATTGATCCGAGTTGGCGGCCGGCTTCATCATTCTGCTCTCGCCGTTGACAAACGGCACCCTGTGGTACTGCCTGCAAACCATCGTCTCACCAGAATGATCGTCTCGCTCGAGCACCTTAAAACGCTTCACGGTGGCCCGAATCTTCTTCTTTCATCTCTGCGTCGTCACTTCTGGCCACTGAATGGTCGGAATCTCGCCAGTACCACCGTGCATCACTGTGTTATCTGCACTCGTGCCTCCCCGAAGTCGTTGGAGCAACTAATGGGTAATCTTCCGCCGGTTCGAGTAACCAGAGCATTCCCGTTCAAGAATGTTAGGGTTGACAATTATGCTTCGAGCACCCAACAAAAAAGCAGCTCCTGTCAAGGCGTACGTAGCGGTCTACGTGTGCTTGGCTGTCAAGGCGATACACCTTGACCTCGTTCCCGATTTGACATCGGAGGCATTCATCGCTAGCTTGCACCGTTTCACCGGAAGACGTGGCAAGCCCAGCAACATATACTGTGACAATGGTCGGAATTTTGTGGGAGCTCAACGTGAGTTAGCAGATCTCCGCACACTATTCGTTTCTCAACAGCATAAAGACGTCGTAGCTCGTGAGTGCGCTACGAGTAACATCGCATTCCACTTCATTCCTCCCAGATCGCCATCGCTAGGTGGAATCTGGGAAGCGGCGGTGAAGTCAATGAAGTTCCATCTCCGCCGTATCATGGGAAACGCTATGCTGACAGAAACTGAATTCAGAACCGCCCTCATCCAAGTTGAGGCTGCGTTGAATTCAAGACCAATAACTGCTATGTCAGAGGACCCGCAAGACTTGCAACCCTTAACTCCAGGACACTTCCTGGTGGGAAGGCCGCTCAATGCTATTCCAGAGCCCAGCCTGCAAGATGTTCCAGAGAACCGCCTGTCCCGCTGGCAACGTGTCCAGTGCCTGTCTCAGCAGTTTTAGCAACGCTCTCAGAAGGATTACCTCTGTACCCTCCACAACCGCTACCGCTGGTCAAATACTACGGCCAACCTCGTCCGTGGTGCCATCGTTCTGCTACGAGATGAAAATCTGCCGCCGCAGAAGTGGGCCGTTGGAAGAATTGTCGACGTCCATCCAGGAACCGATGGGCTTGTCCGTGTAGCTTCGGTTAGGACCAGTACCGGAGTTACGAAGAGAGCTGTAAGCAAACTCTGCCTGCTACCGGTGGAGATAGATCCAGAGACAATCCAGCAGCAATCCCCGTCATCATATGACTCCAGCGCCGATGAAGAATAATCCATTCTTGGCGGCCGGAATGTTAAATGCAAAGATAGTAACTTTTTTGAACCACTCTAACATTCCAATAGTTTTTCGAACCACCCTACCCTGTTTGTATTTGCTTTTGATCCTCATATACCATATACCTTCAGTAAACACTAACACACACACAAACGAAGACAATCTATGTAGAACAAACAGAATACGAAATAAAATCAGTACTTTGAAAACGGTCAAAGAGTCCGGGCGTTTTTAGTTTTATTTTCCCCGTCCGAGTTCACCGCGAGTTGTATCCTGAAATAATTAGAAGAAGTTAATAAAAAGAACACGAAGGCCGGTTCGCGAATCCGTAGTGAAGTGATTCGGGATCGGAACAAAAATTCCTAGATTTTACACAATGCTTTACTGAAAAACAGCAAACGATATTTTTACCGAAAAATTCAGCTTACATATACTAACACCCGCATTCGTACTCCACCGGTCAGGTAAGGACACTGGCTCGGACACTGATTATATTAATAAATGATACTTGGAAAAGCGTCTGGCGATTTTGTCTTTATTATTCGTATATTTGCATCAACGATCTTTTACAGAAACTGGAAGCTCATATAATGAAAACAAATTCAATTTACTGAATTTAATAGTTTTATCAGCAAAATGCTGCCAAATGTCAGAATTTTGAATTGCTGTAAGATCAGTAAAGAAATATTGCTGATTTTCAGTAAAAGGTTGTCATTTTGACAGAAGTTGGAATTGCTGAAAAATTCAGCAGCATTATTTTGCTGGAACGTTTGCTGATCCTTAATCAAGTCTAAAATCAGCAAAATTTTGCTGATTTTCAGCAATTTAAATTTGGTGTGTAGTTTCCGTGCTACAATGAGTGGTAGACAATTATCATACATCATACATCATACTAACTGTCAACGACCAAATACCATTCTCTGGCCAAACGAAGGCTTTAATCGCCAAGGGGTTTTCACTTCTCGGATTGACCAAGGTGGCCTCGCCATGAAAGCCAACGAAGAAAGACGCCTCCCATCCCACCGTCCAGCAACTCCCGCTAGCCCGTCATCCGGTCACTTCGCCAATTCGGCGAGAGTATCGGCCGCACAGTAGGACAGGAGTCGTTTTGTCGGCAATCCCGATTCACCATCAACGGCAGCAGCGGTTGTTACCGGTACAAGTGAACGAGGTTAGGCTACACGACACACATTACACGAAATTATTAACACAGAACAAAACTCACATGATTCAGAAAGTGACCAATAAACGCATTTAAATAAAAGTGAAAGTTCTTCGTTTTTTGAATCGCGTAACCCTTTGATTACCCAGTAGCTCCAACCCTGGGTATTCCGGAGTTTGCTCTTGACGTCTGAGCCGACCAAGTGCTGTATATTTGATCTCCGTGTAGGTAGTTGGTGAGTGCTGAGTTCTTACATTCTCTAATAGATTGCATCCCCCCCCCCCCCCCCCCCAATTAGGTCCGGCATATAGAATCCAAAAATGGGTGGAATTTTAGTCAACAATGTGTTTTTTCTTACCGTGTATATGGCACAGTAGCCTGAATTTTATTTGCCCTATTCGTCGCATCAAGTACACTAATCTTGCATGCTGAGCAGTCCATGGAGAATGTCATTAGAATGTCTTTCTAATAAAGAGTTCATCCACAAGGATTACGTTCGACTATTATTACAACTAATTAATATCCAATTATACAGACGATCAATTCAAATGCGATCTTGAACAAAGTAGTAGCTGAGAAAATTTTACATAAGTATTAATAGCTAACTTTTCCTTGTATCATTATGATAAAGGTCTAGGATGATGTGATCGAAAAGTTATTTTCTCCCCTACTAATTCCCATATAGACTTCAAAGAGCCAGTGCAGTACCAGAGATGACGTTTAATAAGAGACGCGCGGAGAGAATGCAAGTATATCTGGTTGCACGACGTTATTTTGTCTAAAACCTACACGGGACAGCCCTCTGGGGTTGTACGCAACGGGGACGTAGGACTACGTGTTCTTATATAATAAATCTTATTTGTTAACTACAGCAAGAGCTTGTGTTTTGTGTAAGAATGGGAATTGGAGCAGCGTTATCTCTGTTTGTACTCTTTAGTATGATATGCTTGAGATAGACATTCCAACGCCGAATCACGAAGAGCTACTGATTCCGATCAATAACGGTGCGGCTTCTTCCTCCCTCTATGGATGCTTATGTGGACTGCAGCTCGCTACTTGCAGGCAGCATTTCGTTGTGAGTGGAGAACACCACCACTCACCTTGCGGTGATTGAATAAACACCGTTTGGTGAGACCAGTTGGAATTCAACTTTGAAATCTGTGTTAGGAAAATCTCTTTTCGCAGGAAATTGGTGATAATAAATGCGTTGAAATATTTCTGATCGATTGGTGATAAAGTTATTGAAATTGATCCAGGGGCAGCTGAGTTATTAACGTTCAAAATCTTTCATAATTTTGTTACATGTTCCATTCTCGGTTTTCACAAAGTGTACCCCCATATAGAAATCGCAGACGTAGTCCTACGTCAAAATTTAATTTTGGTTTCAGCCTTCGTTCGTCTATTATTTAACATCGTCTCTGTGCAGTACGAGTTCGCAACCATATGAGCTCAAATTTTGGAAGAATTAATAGGACCTGATTTGGAATCCATTGAGTGGGATGGAGCAAAATCGATATTTTGAACCACCCTAATGCACCCGGTGTTGTTCAGATTAACGGAGGTCTACGGTTTTAACTTCAGTCACTTATCTAATTTTCATTAAAATGATCATAGCCCAGAGTATGATTTGATGGGCGATCGAAAACGTCCACAGCACTGTGTGTGAGCAACAGTAATGTTTACAAACCGACCGGTCGTTTAACTGGCAGTAGTGCCTCACTCTCTCTGGTCGCTGGTTAACGTATTTGTACCTGGGGGGGGACGTGCTGTCAAATCAGCCTACTGATCATTCTTGTATGAAACTGGCTCCAAACGTAAACAATCGCTGTAGGTTTCTTATGGCTTGTTTACCTTTGGAACCAGTTATGCGAGGCATGCGAGGTAGGCGACGATTGTTCGTATTTGACAGCCGCCTCCCCCCCTTGATTTGTACTCATAAGTTAGTTGAAATCGGATTGAGTGTGAACTTTATTTCCGTCCGACACAACCGCTCTCATATATTGATTGAAGTAAAAGGTTGTACAAACAATAAACTACGCCTTCCCCATATAGTCAGCTCGGTCGTACTTAAACTGCGTAGCGCACCAAAACAAATCGCAAGAACACCAATCAATGATGACGCTTATTTTGTTTCAACTTCAATTTACTATGTTAGGTACACCGAACAGCGATAAAAATGTAATTATGTCGTTTTCGACCAAACGGCCATACCATTAACGATTAGGAAGCGAGTGTGCCACACACAAGGCGCTCGCTGGGACCGGATGCGTGATATCACCCCGCAGACAATGACGGTCCGGAAACTCAAACTAAGAAATCAATCGAAACTAAATTTAAAAAAAAATGCCAATAACAACGGACAAAGATGATGATGACCGTCGTGTGCCGATGTCGAACCGAGGAGCGAAGAGAGCACATGGCGCTTCCGCTTGGCATCTTGTCAAACTCGTATCGTGCGCTAAATTGACCATTCTGGCCGCGTACCACCT